ATACTGCTTTAAATAAAAACCTCGTACCATGGATTCGCCTCTGTGATGATATCAACAACTTATGATGAACCATCTTTTGCCCAATAAATATGTCTTACATAAATACAAAATATTCCAATACGAATTAATGTTAAATAGATACGAGAAAAGAAAGTAAAACCAAGCTTGAATTTCAGAAATTATGACTAACAGCATTCATAAAACGAACACATAGTTAAGTGATCATTTTAAGTGATCATTTTTCCACTTAATTTGTAAGACTTTTCGATTCTCAGTCAACACCCACTTAATTTTTAAGACTTTTCGATTCTCACTTGGGCTTTTTATAAATTAAAAAAAAAAGCGCAGCTCAAAATGCTACCCGCCTCCCCCCAAAAAAAAAAAAAAAAAAAAAAAAGGCATGGGGTTTCTACTAATACAGCGCGCTGGAAGTCACTTTGAGGGTTAAATCATTCTTTTTATCACGCCGCAGTGTAATGCATGTTAATATAGTGAGGAATCCAAAAAGTTATAACGCATACAATGCCATACTCTGAGAAATCAACCGTACGCTGTAAAAAAAAAAAAAAAAAAAAAAAAAAACTTTTTAAAACTCCGGGATGAACAATAATCCTATCTCCCCCTACATCAAAAATTCTCGCCCTACATAAAAAATCCACGCCCCAAACAAAAATTACATGCTGCCAATATTACTATCGTTCATAGCTCCATCAAATATTATCCAATTTGAATAATTTTGCTTGCAAAAATATACCTTTTAATTGTTTCTACAACATAGTAGAATTTAAAAAGTAGTTATTAACCCCAATCACTAGTTATACGAGAACTTCGTTCAAATCGATATAAATCCTCAAATATTTTTACTCATATCAAACATATACGTTGCTAACATAACGCGCCATTATGTCGTGTGAAAAAAGTGTATAAAAGGGCTGATTTTTTTGCGCGCGACCTTACTCAGTATTAACCTCGCGCGGTTGGTTAAGTGGTATAATCTTCGCCTGCCACGCGAAGGGCCGGGGTTCGATTCCCCGACCGCGCATTTTTTGGCCTTATACCCATAGGTGGGGACCGTTTTTGAAAAATGATTTAATTCTTTTATTTTTGGGTGCCACGTGGCACCCAAATTTTTTGCGAAAAAGAGGTTTTAAGTGTTGTTTTTATTATAAAAAGTAAAGAAAAAAAAAGATTTTATAGTAGATTAGCTGTTTTTTCAAAAAAAAAATTGTTTGGTTGGTTAGTGGGGGTTTCACAATTATTCTAGGGATTGTTGATAAATGGACAGGGTATGCTTCTGTACCGTCCAGGACAATTATCGATATTACATAATCCACATTTATTTATGCATAGCTTGGGCTTTGATCGACCACTGCAAGAAACTGTGTCCATGCAAACAAAACAAGTTCTGCTTGATCGCTTTATCTTTTTTGGTCGAGGGTTCACATCCGTTGGGCTAACATCAGTGGGAGGTTGATCGCGAGGCAAGAGAAGAGCGGATGGCGTATTGTTAATTGTCAAAGCTGATACTATTGGTGGTGAGATTGCAATAGGTGCGGGTGAGGGTATTAATTGCCGCTCATGACGTTGAATTGTCAAAGAAGAGTGATCGTTTGGAAGTAGTCTTCTTTGATGACCAGAATAATGTTCAATAGTTGTAGGAGCTTTTATGGATGCAATAGGGGTTGTTATCCTGTTGGACTGAAGTAACGCATCTCTTATATTGTTATGAATATTCTCGTTCAGTAAGATAGTATTGTAGAACACACCAGCTTCTAATCTTTTGTTAAAGTAAAGTTTTAGATGCTCCGGTGTTTTGTAAAATATTTTGACACCATCAGTAAACGAAGACCATATCTTAGCGAAAGAATCAAAATCAGGGATGCTGCTGTTTATGTTGACATACAAATCTTTTTTGTGAGTTGAAACAAGCTTGTCATACAACAGTATTTCTTCTTTGGTATGAACCGGTACTACTGCAAAGAGAGTATTTTGCCTGTTTGCTAAGTATCTGTATATGAAGTTTTGAGATGAGTAGCCTTGCTTTTGAAAATTAACAATGGGTAAAAAGCTTAATTCAAGCAATCTCTTCTCAACCATTTCGTTGGAAAGGTGGTTATTAGCCTCGTTTTCTAATTTTGGTTTCATATCAAGTGTTGTTAAAAAAGGCAGACTTAAAGCTGTTATACCGAACGTTTCTACTGATTGGCCCGTAAAATCGACAGGAAGTTTTTCAATATGATGAATAATATAATTCTTCACAGTATTGTGGCCTATATAGAGTCTCATCATGTTTATGCATTGAGTGACCCAAGGACTGAAATGACTTTTATGTGCTATGCCTTCCCTATTTCTAGCACCAACCTATGAGTTATACTATGTTAATATCGAAGATAAATTTTTGTTAAGAACAAACTAAAGTACCTCAATATTATGGTATAACCTATAATCAGCTAAAACTGAATCCGTAAGACGAGGACCAGCGTTAATTGAAGAAAATTTTCTTATAATAGCTTGGTGGTATCCTTCAACCGAACTAGTACCTCTAGAACAACCATATGTCATAAGGCCATTCTTGTATTTTCCTAACTCTCTATATAATGGTGGCCCATTTTCTATGTCAGAAACATGACCTAACTCAATTGATTTAAGGATGTTTTTAGCAATCCTTTTACATTCTTGGTCAAAGAGCGGAGATCCTGTTTTAGCGCATGGTAAAGGCCCATAGTGATCAAATAAAAGTTTAACAGCGGGCAGCAATTGGTTTGGAGGTGGTATTTTTCTTTTGACCCGTCTAAGAATAAAATCTGAGTGACTTCCCATGTAATTATTAAAGTCTGTGTTGATAGTCTTCAAATAATCTTCGACATTCTTTTTGTCGACTGGATCGTACACAAACAAAGCATCTCTGAAGCGCTGATAAAAGTCTCTATACATACCATGTTTTTGCGACAGTGGTAGCATGTCCATTAAATGAAAAGCGTCTTTTAATACTCGAGAGGGTATAAATGAGTCTTCAGATGACTGATCAGTTGTTTTGCTGATAAGAGTAGGCATGGTTAGCAAATCATTAGAGTTGTTTTGCATATGATCAGCAGATGAGGCTAAAATTTGGATTTCAGATGCTGTTTTTAAGATATTCCAATCGACAAAGATGTGAAATGGTGTTGATCCAAAATCTTGTAAACATACAGGCTCAATTTGATTCTTTTCGTAATTTGATATGATTGTACCTGGTATTTTGACCTCAATAATCTTGACAAGAGCTTGTTGATTATTATCTAAACTGGATCTATTTTTTTCAAAATAGTCCTTTGTCACTGGATTCAATTCGTTTATCTCTTCGTCTAAATCCTTTAAATACCCAAAGGCACATGGGAAGACCTTGCATGAATTTGTATATAATGCAACAAGCGTGTTCTTGGAAGTCAATGGATTGACATTTTTGTTTACTGGAGGGCAATCAATCAAGCTGTTAAATATAGCAATACCAACATATGCATCCAACGCAGCGTAAAGTACTTGTTCTTGTGTTAACTCTGGAGAATTCCAATTTCCACACCTGATGTTATTGGGTTTTGGTAATGATGCTTTCAGAACAATAGCACATATTTTTGCCAAAGAGAAGGATTTTTTTTCTATGACACCTTTATCTTTACAGACTGAACCCAACTCAATCAAACCTTTGGGGTTTATTTGATACCCTTTTTGTAAGCGAGTAAAATCACCAGTTACATTTTTACCGATTTTCTTGACATTTTCGCACTCCAAAAGGTGTTTCAACTTTTCAGGATAGTCCTCCGCCGTATACTCAAATGTACGAAGCAAATATATTTTGTCTTTGTAACAAATTTGAATAAGAGATACTTCATTCAGAGAGGATGGAGTTCTTCTTAATCCGGAATAAAAAGAGCTATTATTTCTGGCTATCCACTCACAGTCAAATCCAATGTTCACATACATGTTTTGTTCTACGTCTTCCAAAATAATTTGACATGCATTGTTGATATCTTCCAAATTGGAGCATACAGATATACTCATTGTACTCGGGAGTGTCAAGACAGGTAAATGTGTTGAACCATAGTTAGAGCTAAAATCCACTTCATTGTTTGTAGATCTAGATATAATTGTCTTGTCTACATTTTTCAACAAGCTTGGTAGTACACCTTCCAAAAAATTTCTATCGCTGTTTACATTGTCAGTGTAAAAAAGTGAAGGTAATCGATAGCCATTAAGATTGTAAGATTGCACCATGGCATTAAACGGTAAAGCGAGATGAGAAAGTGCTTTTGATGGAGTTAGTACTTGCATTCTTATTTCCTCGTATTCATTCAAGCAAGTATACAATGCTGTAAAGGTTGTTTCTCCATTTAGCTTTCCCATATGGCCCGTAACCTTGAAAGAATGATCGCCTTTAAGAATGTCACCGTCTAAAGACATCATATGCCAGTCTAACTGAGGACGTATCTGCTCAATGATTGACGAGTAGACGTAACTTAAATATCCAGGAGAAGGCACAAAACCATTGTATAATTCTTTGTTAGAGAATTCAGAGAATTCTGGTAACAATTTTTGTTGTACGTTTCTCGTTAACAATGAATCGATGCTGGGATTTTTTTTCTCGCTGCAAGCAGCATCATAATACTGTAATTCGAGAGTAGCATGATGCTCCGCATGCAATTCTCTTAAAATTTTCGATAATCTCACAGGACCTACGGAATTTTGGAACAATGGACGCATCAACTTGGCTAAATCTTTGGATATCCCAGACTTATGAGTTAAAAGAGCAGGAAAGTCCGCTTGAACACGCAACGGGAGCTGTCTGATAATTCTAGAGTCGAATCCGTTAAAAAAATGCTGCTTGGTAGCATTCTTACATCTGTAACGTCGTGTCATTATGTAGAAACAACTATAAAATTAATGCGTCAATTTTCCAAAATTACATATGGGAATGTCAACATTTTAAGTTGTTGTACAAGACAATTGGGCACACACATACTCTTTCAGATCAATAATTCTTCTTGCTTTTGTTTTTTTGTCAAATCCTTTTGATTCGATACCAGATTTACAAGAAGGGCACACCAAGTTATCATGCAAATGGTCAGGTAGCCAAATGAACGTTCTTGGGTGGTACAGCTCCGACGGATCTGCAGCCTTCGCCAAAATAAAAGAAGGGTTCCGCGTCTGTGTCCAAAATGTCCCTCTTTTATATTCATCAGGGGGGTGACTCTTGTTTTTGTTGTTTCCTCCCAATCTTTGCTGAAGAGCTTCGTGGTATTTCGCAACTTCACTGTCAGAAGGTAATGAAGAAGCAAACTCGTCTAGGATGTTAAATGCTTCCTCATTCAATTCCTCGAATTCATCGGAATCAGTTTCAGTTTCTTCGACTCCATCCTCATTTGAATCATCTTCAGTGTCTTCAACTCCCTCAGAACTTAAAGAAGCAGTAATATTATGTGTGTCTTTTCAATACCAGTTGCATTTAGCTGAGGCCAAGAAGCTTAATTTTTCAACAACAATTGTATAAGCATAATTTGTGAGTTTTTCATACCTGTTCAGTGTTACCAAATAAAATATGCTCATTATCTGCTGCAGCTGATGTGGAGGCTTCAGATTGTACCGTCTCCTCGGGGGTCTTTGTCAAAAAATTTGTCATAAAGGATTGATTAACTATTTGTTTGCGTTTGCGACCAGCATTGTGTCCTTCCTTATTTGTTTGTCCAGTTGGCCGTCCTCTCCTATTTTTGATACTGGCTTCAACTCTACTGAGATTACTTTTTTCGCTACTATCTGACATTTGAATGTTGTATAAACTAAATCTGAACAACAAATCCTCTAGTTTTATAGATGTGTAGACCCCTGGCGGTATCTGAACCCATAATGTATTGTATTACACATTTGTGAAGTGCTTTTTTTTAAAAAAACATAAAATTCGTTTTATTTCATAAGTTTGATTGTTGTGGAACGTCAATGGATACTAAGGTCAAATCATTGAAAAAAATCCCATTTTTTGGATATGCATTAAAACCATATAAGCTGTTTTTACAGATAAAATTAAACACATTTGATCATCAATTGTAAAAAAAATCTTTGGATTAATGGAGTCACTTCTATGGGTTGGGTTGATGAAATATGGAAAATATATGCAAATCATTCATGAGTTCCCTTCAAGTCCAAATGGCCGTACAGCCACGCGCTTACACTATTTAGAGTTATTTAGGATCCGCTTACACTATTAAAATACCGCTTACACTATTTGAAGCAATGTGATTGGCTAATTTTCAAAAAAATCAAGTTTTTATTGGCTCTCCAGTCCCCTCCCATAAGCCTAAGGCCCATTTTTTTCATCCTGGCTGACAAGTGTCGGAGTACAAAACTGTCGTGACTGCTTTTAGATAGTTATAAATATGTCAGATCAATCATTCAATAAAGGTCTTCACCAGGGGAGCAAAAAAACACGATTTGGAAACCCCGAGATCAACTACGAGAATAACTACCAGATTAATTCCAAATGAAGTAAAAACGTGACTAAACAAACATGCAAGCGTACATATTTCCACTAAAATAACTTGTTATGATTTTACGCTGTCGTCTATTTTTACTTGTTTGATTTTATATTTTATTTCATTTTTTTTGCCTTTTTTCTTGTTTTATACCTATTATTATCGCCCTCAACAATGGATCCCAATACTTTTACTGAAAAACAAATTCACGTTTTGTTTGAAATATTGTCTGATTTCGAACGACAAGTCGATGAAGCTAATAACTACGATTCAGACACTGAGCAAACAGAACAAACAGGGATGTTTGAGGTCATGGAGAAAATAGCAGATTTACAATCAACAATGGCTTACACTATGAATCAGATAACTTTGGCAGAAAGTCACCGCGTAATTAACGATGTGCAGTTTATGATCTTTTTGGGATCGCCTGTTCATTTAACTGAACGTATGACAACTGGAACACGTCTCTCTGGAAATACATACCACTGGTGGACTCATCGTCATCCTCTTTTGCACGATGGAAGAGGAATAGACAGCTTCAGAGCTCATTACCGCATTAATTTACGCACTTTTAATTTCATTGTCACGGTACTGAGACAGGAGCCTGAGTTTGCAGCATCGGACAAGCGTGATAATAATGTCAGTCATCCTGTATGGATGCAAGTTGCCATTGTTTTGTGGCGTTTCAGCAATACACACCTGGGATATCGAATGGCCGGGGAAATGCTAGGTGTAAGCCAGAGCTCTTATAACCGATTCACCAACCGTTTTTTGGATGCTATGATACGTTCACTTACGAATTTCAGCATAAGATGGCCATCAACTCGCGAAGAATGCCAGGATATTATGGCTGGATTTGCAGTACCCTCTCGAGGAACAGGCCGTTTTCATTTAAAGGAATGTATCGGGGCTATTGATGGAAAATTGATAGTGGTCCAAAAGCCCTCCGCCTTTGGCAATAGCTGGTTGGATCGCCATGGACATGCTTCAATGGCTCTGATGGCAGTATGTGATCACAAAAAAAGATTCACTAAAATAAAAACCGGTATACCAGGTACGAATACAGCTTTTTTGTACAATTCTTTTATTCATTCGGTTATATAACAGGTAGCCAGAACGATATGCATATCTTCAAATCCAGCGAGTTATATACGGGTATGATTGAGCATCCGGAAATTCCGTTCAAGGATCCAACTTCTTATATCGTTGGAGGTATGTGGTATATATATTCTTAGTACTTAGCATTAACTAAGCGTTTTATAGATTCAGCTTATCCAATCATGAAGCATTGCTTGACTCCTTACCGACGCACAAGCGACATTACACCTGCTCAGACAAAGTATAACACCGTTCATTCGTCAACCAGATTTCCTATTGAAAATTGTTTTGGGTTATTCGTTGCCAGATGGCGGTTTATGTACAAACATTTGTATGTTTTAGACTTGGAAAGAATGACCAAGGTGATTACAGTATGTGCTACCTTGCACAATTTGTGTATAACCTTCGGTGATAGTGAGGATTATCTGACGGAATTGTTATACAATCATGGAGATAACATTGTCGTGGATCAATCACCTTTGGAGTGGTATATGCGAGTCAATAACATTGATGGGGCTCAATTTATCCTTCGCGATATGCCAATTGGACCCGAGAGACCCCCAAACACACCCATTCGCACCGCTGCAGAGAATACTGCATTAGAAGGAAGAATTGGAAGAACGGGAAGAGAATATAGAGATCAAGTTTGTTCAAGGCTTTGATCCCAATAAAAATACTGTGACGCTCAAAAAGTTTTTTTTGCAAAGTACTTTGATTTATTTGGCTATGATATATGACAGCAGATAGAAAGGGAAGTAATAAAATATGGACAAAAATGTAGAAAAAAAAAACGATAAAATCAAAAAGGTATTAATCCAAAGCTTAGATATCTTCGTCAGGGTTGACACTTGGTGTCGTGGGTGCTGGTGTCGTAGGTGCTGGTGTTGTAGGTGCTGGTGTTGTAGGTGCTGGTGTTGTAGGTGCTGGTGTTGTGAGGGCTCGTACGGGTGCTGCTGGTTGACGATTACTGAAGAGACTCATCAAATCTCGCATCATCTCTAGTCTTGTGCTCCTGTCAAGTGCAGCATTATTATCCCTTGACTCTCGGTCTAGTACCATTAATCTTTCTCTTCTTTCCGACGCGGCTTCTCTTCTTTCTGACTCGGCTTCTCTACTTAATCTATCCAATCGACGGTGTTCCGCTGCTTCCAAAAGCGATCTTTGGTAACTTTCATTGATTGAGCTAAATTGCTCCGTCATTGTTCTCATAACTGTCTCGACAAATTGTGTATGCCTTTCCGCATTTTGCAAATACGCTTGCTGTACACCCAAAATGGTAGTGCGTACAGCAGAGTTTGTTGATCGTGCTGATGCTGGTAAAGGTGCTGGTACCGATGATGGTGTTGGTGCTGTTGCTCTTGGTGCTGCTCTTGGTGCTGCTCTTGGTGCTGCTCTTGATGATGCTGGTGAGGCTGGTACTGTTGGTGCTGGTGTTTCGGCTGGCACGGATCTTGCCGCCGGTGTAGCTCTTGCTGAGGCTGGTACAGACGTGGATGCTGGTGTTGCCCTTGATGATGATAGTGATGGTGATGCTGATGGTGCTGGTGATGGTGCTGGTGCTGCAGTAGTTGATGATGATTGGGGAGGGGGACTGGGAGACGAAGCAATATCTTCATTCAAGACATCGGCAGCAAGTTCTGCCAAGCGGTTTCTCACAAATGCTGGAGTAGATGACAGCGTGTTGATGTACGTCTCATTATCTTCCTGAAGAGAGGTAATAATTGTAGTTCCTGCAACACCATTCTGAATGGTTGATGTTTCGATGGTATAAGCTGGCCAAAAGCTTGGATCACGGGCGGTAATATCCTTCATCATCAAGTAATGTTCATATCTTGTTTCAGGAGGAGCTCCACCAGAACCAGTACGTCTGATATCAGCTAAAACCTTTCTGAAGTTTTTTTTGATGGTCTGGAATTTGGCCTGGGCGTATTTGACGTTTTGGTATTTGGACCCGAATCGTGTATGCGTAGTTGCATACTGAACAACTTCAGGTACTTGGACGAACTTAGCATGAAGTTCCTCCCATAGTCTTGCTTTTCCATAGTTGTCAAGTCGGGAGTGCTTATGATAGAATCTATCATCTGAAATACACTGCAGCAAAATACTTTCAATCGCGATACTCCATTCACCAGGACGGCCGGGTACTACGATCTCTTCCTGTATGGCTTCATCATCCTCTTCAATTTCTTCATCTGGTTGTTGGGGTGGCTGAGGGTGAGGTTGAGGCTGCTGAGGTTGAGGTTGCTGAGGTTGAGGTTGCTGAGGTTGAGGCTGCTGAGGCTGCTGAGGCTGCTGAGGTCGAGGTTGTTGAGGCTGCTGAGGTCGAGGTTGTTGATAGTTACGCTCCTGTTGCTGAGGTTGTTGCTGAGGTTGTTGCTGAGGTTGTTGCTGAGGTTGTTGCTGAGGTTGTTGTTGAGGTTGTTGCTGAGGTTGCTGATGGTCAGGATGGAATTCTCGTTGTTGCTGCAATTGATACAATTGATGTCTCTCAAATTGTCGACGTTGTTCCAAACGGATTTGTCTTTCCAATTGTTCACGATGGTATTGCTGCTGTCCACTATGTTGCCCATTTTGCTGTTGTTGATAATGCTGACGTTGTTGTTGGAGCTGTTGTTGTTGGAGCTGTTGTTGTTGGAACTGTTGTTGTTGAAACTGTTGTTGTTGGAACTGTTGCTGCTGGTAGAGTTGCTGTTGCTGGGATTGGTGAAACTGTTCGGGATGCTGACGTTGACGATTAGCATGATGCTGTTGTTCATTCTCAAGTACATTGGGGGTGGTATTGTTAGGAGATTGATTGGATTGATTCATATTATTCATTGACAGGTATGTTATTTTTTATAAAAGATACGTGATTTTATTCAAAAATTTATGCAGAAAGAGAGAGTGAATTCACTGGTGAAAAGGTATTTTAATAAAATGTTATTGTTTGCATTGCTCGTGTAGCTACAGACTTTAGTAATGTCAAATTTGGAAACAATTTTTGTACTTTATCCTTTTTTGAATTAATCTGGTAGTTTCCAAGGTGAAATATGCCTTGGAAACTATTCAAAATCACAAACACTGCATGTATACTGCATGTTTGTTTAGTCACGTTTTTACTTCATTTGGAATTAATCTGGTAGTTATTCTCGTAGTTATTCTCGGGGTTTCCAAATCGTGTTTTTTCGCTCCCCTGGTGAAGACCTTAAAACGATAACTCTTTTACTACTCTACTTAAATATCTATAACTAAGCTTAACACTTATATCAGACCCGACAAAACATTCAGATTGTCGTGGGACTTTTTGTATGTAACAGCCAAATATATAAAAGTATTATTTAGAGGATCAAAGATGATTTTATTATGATTGAGATAAAAGCCTATTTTAAATATCAACGTATTTGTGTGACCTAAGTCACGACAAGATATATATTTCTTAATTTTACTTAACAATAAACATCATCTTTTATCTTCAACTTTATTCTCGCATATATATTACATAATATAAGATCAGACCCGACACGGGGTCTGTTATAGAATTGTGCGTAATGAAATAGAAAAGTAGAGTAGAGGATAAAATATGATCTTTATTGTTTTGTATGATTATGAAATATACAGTGCGTCCGCCCTCAATTGGACACTATTTTGAAAACATTGGTCGGATTTTTGAACTTTTTTGGTCAAAAATGTGAAATTCAATTGGACACTTTTTTGAACTTCAATTGGTCACTTTTCGAAATTCATTTGGTCACTTTTTCGAAATTCATTTGGTCACTTTTTATAAAATGAATTGGTCATCAATATTATAATGATTATTTATACTTTTGTCCTAAACACTATATATGGTAATTCGGACTGTTCTTTTTTTTTTTTTTTTTTTTGCGCGGCCAAGCGAAGCGCAGGTCGAAGCAACAGACATGTATGAGTATAATAAACACTTACTGAATTGGGAGGGGCTGTAAGTCCCGACCTACACGGTACACAAAACACTGAGTGAACAATGTGTATTAGCATTGAGTTAATTGGGAGGGGCTGTAAGTCCCGACCATCACAGTACATAAAACACTGAATGAAAAAATGTGTACAAGCATTGAGTGAACTGGGAGGGGCTGTAAGTCCCGACCAACACGGTACATAAAACACTGAGTGAAAAAATGTGTATTAGCATTGAGTGAACTGGGAGGGGCTGTAAGTCCCGACCAACACGGTACACAAAACACTGAGTGAACAATGTGTATTAGCATTGAGTGAATTGGGAGGGGCTGTAAGTCCCGACCATCACAGTACATAAAACACTGAATGAAAAAATGTGTACAAGCATTGAGTGAACTGGGAGGGGCTGTAAGTCCCGACCAACACGGTACATAAAACACTGAGTGAAAAAATGTGTATTAGCATTGAGTGAACTGGGAGGGGCTGTAAGTCCCGACCAACACGATACACAAAACACTGAGTGAAAAAATGTGTATTAGCATTTAGTGAACTGGGAGGGGCTGTAAGTCCCGACCAACACGGTACACAAAACACTGAGTGAACAATGTGTATTAGCATTGAGTGAATTGGGAGGGGCTGTAAGTCCCGACCATCACAGTACATAAAACACTGAATGAAAAAATGTGTACAAGCATTGAGTGAACTGGGAGGGGCTGTAAGTCCCGACCAACACGGTACATAAAACACTGAGTGAAAAAATGTGTATTAGCATTGAGTGAACTGGGAGGGGCTGTAAGTCCCGACCAACACGATACACAAAACACTGAGTGAAAAAATGTGTATTAGCATTGAGTGAATTGGGAGGGGCTGTAAGTCCCGACCAACACGGTACACAAAACACTGAGTGAACAATGTGTATTAGCATTGAGTGAATTGGGAGGGGCTGTAAGTCCCGACCATCACAGTACATAAAACACTGAATGAAAAAATGTGTACAAGCATTGAGTGAACTGGGAGGGGCTGTAAGTCCCGACCAACACGGTACATAAAACACTGAGTGAAAAAATGTGTATTAGCATTGAGTGAACTGGGAGGGGCTGTAAGTCCCGACCAACACGGTACACAAAACACTGAGAGAAAAAATGTGTATTAGCATTGAGTGAATTGGGAGGGGCTGTAAGTCCCGACCTACACTGTACATAAAACACTGAGTGAAAAAATGTGTACATGCATTGAGTGAATTGGGAGGGGCGGTAGGTCCCGACCTACACAGTACATAAAACACTGAGTGAAAAAATGTGTACAATCATTGAGTGAACTGGGAGGGGCTGTAAGTCCCGACCTACACAGTACATAAAACACTGAGTGAAGAAATGTGTACAAGCATTGAGTGAACTGGGAGGGGCTGTAAGTCCCGACCAACACGGTACATAAAACATTGAGTGAAAAATGTGTATTAGCATTGAATTGGGAGGGGCTGTAAGTCCCGACCAACAAGATAGAAATGTGTATGTGGTTGTATGTCCTTCCAGGCAGTGTTTGTAACACAATATCCAGATTTTGCTGTCGCGACAATAAATTTTAAAGAAAGCTGATAATTATTCTATTCCTTCTTTCAAACCGAAATGTCTTCTGTTAATCATGACTTTGTTCAATCTGATGGAATCAGTCAACCAAATCGAGGAAGAGTCAGAAGCATTGCAACCGAATCAACTACCCGAAGACCGAGACAACGAGCAAGTCGTATAAATATTCCCAGAGCGCCCAGACTCAACAACAGTAACCGAGGATCGAATGAGGAATCTAATACACGTGCAGATGAAAACACCAATAATGCTGATTCACCTAATTCAGGATCTGCCACTCCAAGTAAAATTAAATGCAAAAGCAGCTATGATAGTTTAACCCTGACATGTTTTTTTTTTTAGTCAGAGATCATAACCTTAATCGTGCGTGTCATGACAATTTTGAAGAGACCAATTTACTCCGTGAGCGTAGAGGAATCTACCGTGAAGACGCAACTTCTGACTTTTTTGGTCGTCATATATTACAGGGGATGACACAAAAATGCCCTCACTGTCACGCGATGCTATACAAAGAAGAACAATCAACAAATCAATCTTTTTCTTTTGGCTGCAGTAATGGAAAAGTAAAAGTGGATATTGTGGACATGCCTACTACACTTATGCAGAAGCTTTTAACAGGTGATCATCCTTGCAGTACCGAATTCAGAAAGAATATCCGAATGTATAATAACGCGTTCGCGTTCACCTCATTTGGAGCAGACCATGAAGATGAGATATTCAGTGGATCGAATCAAGGATCGTTCACATTTAGAATTCAGGGAGGAACATACCATCGATCTGCATCATTAACAGCTACTGAAGGAAGAAAACCTGTCTTTGCACAGGTTTATTTTAGTGATCCTAATCTACGTATACAACAGCATATAGATTTTAACGAAGTGTTAGACCGTCAATTAGTATCACAGTTGAATCGAATGATGGATGAAGTATCTCCGTATGCAAATTTGTTTGATAGCGCAAGAAAGAGACTTTCTACAGAAATAGTGGATGGGACGCCGGTTGTTAAAGACCTTTATGTTTATGTGCGAGGTAACCCAGGACTGGGTCGACAATATGATTTACCAATGGCGGATGAAGTTGCAGCATATATTGCAGATGCAACGATTCCTGATGAAAGTACCCGAGGCAGTAGAGAAGTGGTTATCTTTTCGACAGAAAATGGATTTCCTAAGAAAATGAATGATTGCCATCGCTCTTACGACTCCTTACATTTTGCATTAATGTTTCCAAGTGGCGAGGATGGATGGAATACAGAGATAGAATTGAACTTGGGTGATGAGGCTATTCGACAAAATCTAGAGAGAGATGAACAAAGTTTAAGTTCTAACCGGCTGACACAAAAGAAAGTATCGTTGAATCAGTTTTATCAACATCGCTTACAAGTGAGACCGGGGGAAACAATGACCTGTCATTTTGGCCGTCTTTTTCATTTGTACATAGTCGATATGTATTGTAAGATAGAGGGACGACGATTGTATTATTTACGTACAAATCAAAGTACGCTACGTTCAGAGCTTTATTCTGGATTAGCCGATATGCAAGTTGGTGGAGATATGAGTAGAGAATCGATCGGTAAAAGGGTCATATTGCCTTCCAGTCATACTGGCTCACCAAGGGCCTTGCACCAAATGCAACAAGATGCTATGGCTGTCGTTAGAGCTTTGGGGAAACCTGATTTATTTGTTACGATAACCTGCAACCCGAAACTGGAAAGAAATTACGGATGAGTTACTACCTGGTGAGGTCCCTTCGGATCGCCCAGATTTAATTTGTCGAGTTTTCGACTTGAAACTTAAAGAGATATTTGCAGATATCAAAGACAAAATGATATTTGGAAAAGTTAAGGGCTTAATTCATGTCATTGAGTATCAAAAACGTGGTTTACCTCACGCTCACGCTGTTATTATTCTGGCTGAGTGCTCTAAGCTTCGAACAGCTCAAGATATCGATAAGTATATCTCGGCTGAAATCCCTGATCCCGCCCGTTTTCCTAAGGCTTATAAAACTATCACAAAGCACATGATGCATACACCATGCAGTATATCTTTAAATGATTCACATGGCAAGGTTCGCATGTGTAGAGATAATAAGGAAAAAATGTGCAGTAAGCACTTTCCTAAAGACATCCAACCCCACACTGTCATCGATGAAAAGGGTTTTGCAAAGTACAAAAGACGCACCACCAATCTCTTTGTTTTGTTTCAAAATGGATATCATGCTGATAATCGTTGGGTTGTTCCTCACAATCTGTATCTTGCTGTCAAGTATAATACTCATATCAATGTCGAATATTGTGCAGGCAATCAAGCA